TCTCGAAAATTTCGTAAGTAGGGGCGTTCGTAAGTAGAGGTACCACTGTACAGGGTTTTTTTTGACAACATCTCAAAAACAATCATGGTTCACTATCAGTAGCTTTCATGCTTACATAATGCCTTTGAAAAACATTCTAGTTTTAGGCTTTTACATAGCACAGCATTCTTAGAAGAGGGTTACACAACTTGTGTTTAATAAGGGAGAAAACTGAAAATATATCATAATCATACTCTCAATTGGGTGAGCAGGTAGTCATATCATAACTTTAATCAATAAACCAAATTCATTTTTTTTCTCTTGGTCCTATCCACTTTTTTGCAGAGATGCACCTCAAAGGCCAACTATAGTCTTTGGCTGCAAAAAGGTTGTATACCTCTGTACTAAAATATGGAAGAACGCTGTTATGCTAAAGCAGAGTTAACCAACTTGAAGTTCTCTGGATATATTTTAAGTATCATTCCAATTTTGGTTCATCACCATGAAAGGTCCAATTCTATACACATAGCAGGGATTACTAGGCCGGAGAAGGCTGCTCCAAATTTTCTTCTTTGCTCAGTAACCATCCCTTTATTTTGACGTTCCTACTATACTAAGTAATCTCAGTGCCCTGGAAAAACATGCCAACAGGATTGGGCTCAAGAGATAGAGGAGATCACTGCATGATCTCTGCATGATCTTAAACTCTAATGAAGCAGGGTCCCAGATCACACCAAGTACTGCATGTGTGCTCAAAAGAACAGGAATTTCTAACCTGAATGCAGTGAGGTCAGACAGAATAGAGGGAGGATCCCAATAGTATGGCTTATCTTCTACCCACTTTCAAGCCCTCACACATTCAGGTGAATGTCAGAAAAGAACTACATTTCCCCAAACAGTTCCATGTTCTAGAAATCCATCCCAATATAAATAAAAGTGCAACATTTTGCATTCCGAACTTTTCAGACTATGTTAAAAATAATTGACTCTCTTGGCTTTTCATCTAAATGAACTGTAAAAAGATGCTTTTGCTAATTCAGAGCATGAACACCAGAAAACTGGCTGTAAATAAAAGCAAGTGAAAACAAAAAGCATATCCTGTCCTAAACTGAGCATATCTTGTAAACAGCCTAGTGTTACAATATAGTATGAATTAAAATGCACTGCCTTAAAATGGACACAGTAAGGTAGAATACAGACTTGTGGTCTATGTTTCATACACAGTTGGAAATGCAAAGTTTATGTACTGATTCTAATAAGCAATATATATAAATATATATCCAGTAAGTAATTTGAAACTGATCTAGCTGCACTAGATATTCCCAATCCTGTTGGCAGTAAAAGTGTGTCAACATATTTTATATGTCCCTGGTTTTATCCAATAGTTCATTGGTTCAGTTCCAATATTAATTATATTTCAAGAGGATCAATACTACTAGCTCACCACACTGAACAATATATAAGAATTCTGATGGATACCTTCTGAAATCAATACACAGACTATACATTGACATACTAGTTCTGAATTCATGCATTGGCAGTACATTAAAGCAAGCACACATATGTCTCCTTGTGTACTTAAATTTATACCCAAGATTGTAACCTTTAAAAGCAGCAGAGTGTCTTTCAGAGCCTTTGCAAGAAAATAGTGATCTACTATTTTAACTCTATGTATACCTATTTCAGAAAAAAAGTAATGAAAAATAACATGCGCCTCCTCTGAAAATTTAAGATCTTCTAAGATCTTTCTGTTTAAAAGGGCAGAAAAGGGAGGAGGAAAGTTCATGCATAGGGAGGTATTTTTTCCTTCTTCTGACAGACTTAAAATAGCAAAATAAACTATCAGATTGATGTGATGATAAAAAGGTAACTTCTACATGCACTCAAAGGTTTAAAAAGTGTATTAAAACATGAATAAAAAGTATCCTTAGATTTTTAAAATATATATATATATATATACATATTTGATTATTCAGTGAAAAGGTGAACACTTTTACCACCTTTTCTTGGTAGGCGAGAAACAAAAAATCCTTTTCAAAAAGCTTCTTTATAAACCTTTTACCTTCAAAATGACCTCAAATGTAAACATACTAATGAAGACATAATCTGCATAACCTAGGATCTGGAAGCACAAAGTTAAACACAAAGTTCAAAACATTATTACTAAAGTTGTGTTTGAGTTAACAAGGGTCAATGAACACTTAATTACCTTTAACAGGATTTCAACAGTAAAGATGGCTGTGAAAGCATAGTCAAAGTAACCAAGTATCTGCAAGGCATAACATGCCACAATGAGACATTTATTTACAAGTGCCAATGTTAGAATTTACAGTTCTGGTCACATATACATATATACATCCTAGAAGTGTTTAACATTGTCTTCTTCTGGGATGTTTTCCAACTTCCCAGTCTACTCTACCCCTCTGCATTTCCTGGTGGTGTCACATCCAAGTGCCAACCATAATCAAACTTTTTTTTTAAGATCAGCCACATTCACATACACAGAATCATGAAGATGCATAGTTGTATCTACTAGGATCAAAACTTGTACAACTACATGTCTTCATGGTTATTTGCAATAAAATTACACAATTTCAGAGGGATGGAATTACTTTAATTATTTCAATGTTGACTACACTGAAGATTCTTTTTCCTTCTCCTTGATATGCATATTTAATATCACTATGGTGACTTTTTTAAAAAAAGTGTTTCTGAAATCATGGCACTAGAGAACTTTTCTCATTTGTATGTATGCTTAAAGTGAAAATGAGTAACTATAAAAAGTGACATTGCCAAACAATTATTAGATGATTTTAACAAACTGGAGAAATAAGCACCTTAAGTTATTACTTAAGGAAATAAAGCCTCCCTTAAACTGCATTCAAATTGGTTGAATACACAGAGATGTCCATGTTATTTTCTTGGCAGACGTGGTTTGCCATTGCATTCTTCTGTGATATTTTGTGAGTTCCCAGTCTAGTGCATAGTCCAAGAACTAATGAGGTTGACTCTGCTTTCAATATCATATATTCCAGAAATACCTATTCTACAAATATAGAAAAAAGGAACTTTATTCCATGTCAATTTCTTGCATCTACCTTTATGTAGTGACACTTGAAACAATCATTGAAATGAAACAGAGCAGTGTGAGTAAATCTAAATGTAATTTGAACCACATCTGTTTAAAAAAATACTAGGGATATGAGAAGCAGGTGGACTCTGCTTTGAGATGCGTTGCACTGCAGAAACAATATACACCACTTTGGTGTTTGGATTTGAAACATTGAGATGGAACTCATCTTTCCTGAACAGCCAATTTGTTTCCAGAAAAGAGCTTCTTCTTTCAGAGAGCATAACAGTTGGAGAGATGTGGAGTTCTTGGTGCTCTCTGAGCTTGGTTGTCTGTTTACAGATGTTTCATTTCCCAACTATGTAAAATCATTCACTGATGACGTTACCTAGTTGGGTAATGAAATATCTGCAAGCAAACAACCAAGCTCAGAGAGCACCAAGAACTCCTTAGTTCAACTCTGAGCAACAGATATTTTCTTCTATTGGAGTTGGTGGGATACCAATCACCCAAATTTTATTAATTCCCAGGCTAAAACTCAAGATACCACACATGTATATGCACAGAGAAAGAACCATTTGAAATTGCTGGTCCAAAAAGGAAGCAATGAAACAGATGAAGCTACTACTATAAAGTGGTCTGAGCTCATAATATTCCCAGGAAATTTTATACTGGTGGCAGGGTCAATTAATGCCAATAATGCAAAGCTAATTCACAAATTATAGCAAGAGTCTATTGGATGATATTTGTGCCATCATATTGTGGCAGATTGAAGGGGTATTAATTTAAGTAATGTAAACCTACATTCCTGAAAATGTCAAGCAGTACCTCATCTAAACACTAACAAGGGCTGACCCTGCTAACTCTCAGGATCAACTAAATTCAACTAGATGGTGCCACCTCATGAGATGCTCACGTACTAGCCCATTTTGAAAGGCACATTTAAAGAAGGTCAAACATGCAGACTGTTTGCAAAATCTATTTTTTCTTACATTATTTCGAAAAGAATGATTGCGAATAGGGTCTTCAGCTGCAAGGGAAGCACTGCTGAGCATGATGAAGACAAGAATGAGGTTGGTAAAAATATGGTGATTGATTAATCTATGACAACCCACTCGAATCCTGAAGAACAAGAAAAGAAAATGGAATACTACTGTTACAACTGGTAGGTTAATTACACATAAAATATAAACAACGGCATTTTTATTTTTTAAAAAAATGCTCATCTGAAAATTGCTAAAGCAATTATTTTATTAACTATGCTGATAATTCAGCAAACCTATAAATATAATAGAACATTACATATAAATATTCTATGGAAAGCTATTATATGTTGGATAATATTAAAGCACAACTTGCAGCATTCTCTGTTTAAAGCATCCTCTTTAAACAGTCATCATTTGGCAAGTATAAAACACAAATGTTTCATAATCCTGGTAGGAGTTTGATTTGAAAAGAAATTCCATGTTAAAAAAAAATTAGTTATTTGTTCAGTCTTGTGCTAGATGACATCAGCAGAAGCTTTAGTTGTTATGTCTCTTATCATTTTACTTTAAAAAATCAGTTCAAGGTATATACATTAAAAGGTTATTTACGGGTTTGTATTGCTGAAAATAAAGAAGGAGCTGCCTTCAGGAATTGGTGTCATCTTCTCCTTCATATTAAGTTCAGATATCCTTCGTGGTCGAGGACCTGCAGGTACTTCTGGCTCTTCCTCTTCCTCTTCTTCCTCTTCACCTACTTTATAGTGAAACTTTATTTATTATAAAGTAAATTAAAACATGTTATAATTCTGAGCAAAGTGAGTGTTCAAAATAGCCAGCAAGATGTTTACAACAATATGTAAATATTAAATATAAATATATTTGTAAATATTAAATGAAAGGACATTTCTGGACTTCTCAACAGTACCATTAAATTATCATGCTGAAAAATATGGAATTAGCTCTATAACATCTCTATAGTTTCTGGATGACAGCAGTGTTTTTAGGCTATCTGCTCCCTTCCTGTTCTGAGTTTGAAGCTAGTTAATTAGTTTATTAGGGTAACTGACCGGAATTCTGCAAGTTAAGAACTAATTAAACAATTTCTGTTTCAAGTAAAATGAAAAACAAACATAAAATCCTAACTAGATCATCAAAGCCATCAAAACAATGTATAACAAAATTTTGCCATGTTCAGGGAAATCGAGTCATACTGGTCTGACAGGAGTAGCTGTACCTGAAATGAATCAGAATTGTCTGGGAACTTCACCAAGCAGGGAGCTATGAAACAGACACTTATAGAAGGTGCAAGATAATCAATTCAATGGGTCCTTTTCCACAAGGGCACAATCTTAGCTCATAAGGAACTTTTTTATATTTGCCCTTGAGAATAGCTGTTGGGAGGGCACTGAAACATGCTAATATTAGCACTCTTTTGAGTTTAGGAATGGTTAACTGATTTAAATATATTGCCAGCTCGAACAACAATCTGCAATCTCTTCATTGGTAAACTGTTAGGTTGTAAATAAGTAATTCCATGCCTCCCTAACCACCATGGAACATTTGTAAATCCTTTGTAGATGCCATTGCAACTCTGGTCCTTACATTATATTGTTCTCTTTTAATTAAGGCTATAAAAAGTGCCAAAAATATATTTTAGCCATTTCCTTTTGTTTCTGAAACCAACAGGAACAACGGTCTTGCTGAGGGGAAGAAAGATCTTATTTCAGGAGAAGTTCCCATGGGTTGGATATAAAGATTATGTAAAAAAAGCTTTTTTAAAAGTGAGGATACCATGGGACTGTAGTGGAGGAATGAAATAATTGCCCCAATTCAAGTGGAAACTGTTTGTACCTCACAGAGTGAAAATGCATGGCCTCTGGATAATATTTATATGTGTGGATGTGGGTGTGTGGGTATGTATATACACATTAGAGTTACTATTCAAACTACATAATCTTATAATTCTACAGTTACATATTTGATGCAAACCATTTTCTTTGAAATCATGTTAATGAAATTGGAGTTGCTTTGAGTTGTGGCACATTTGACCCAATATGTCTTTCTGCCAGTGTACAAAAGGGAGATGGTACCTGGGATATCACAAGGTGGATATGGATCTTTGTCTTCATCATCTTCTTCTCCATATTCATCAATTGTAACCTCAAGTAACAGAAAAGTAAACATTTCAAAAAGAGAGAAAAGTAGTGCAGTAAACTGGTGCATCTTACTAATTCCAGCTCACTTCTTCATCTGTTTCTTCTATTTGAAAATGCCCAACATTACCATTTTTTAATCAAGAATTCTGGCTGAATAAATAAATTAATGAAGTCAACATTATGCCAGAGTGTCTCACAGAGTCTATACTCTGTGAAATAGATAATCTAATACCTCTATCATTAACTCAAATAATTGATAATTGTTCTTAAACCAGAACCTTTCACCTAATTATTGTTCTAAAAAGATAGTTGATATCCTACGAACATCTGGCAAATCATTACTACAGAGGCAGGATGCAAATGGGAATCAAGTCTTCATCTAAACATGCATAGAGAGAAGGAAATCAGGGGCAGCTGTCATATACATCCATTCTACCCACTGGACTCTCACAAGGAGATCCAAGTAAGCACGAGTCAATGCAGAGAATTAGGTTGTTAGGGTTAGATGGGTGTCTGTGCATTCCTGTGTTGAAGAGCTTTCTTACAAAGGGGAACAGATCTCAAGTACCTTAGTATCCTTGGCCTTCTTTGGTTCACCTTCTGGCTTGTCCCCCCTTTTAGCATCCAAACTCTCTTTTCTACAAGAATAATGAAAACAAAACCGTGGGGAAAATGATAAAACAATTAATGTGGTCAACTAATGATTCTAATAAAACTGGAAACATAAAATTTACAGCAGAAGGGACTTGAAGATAAAGACAGAATTAAATGTTATCTACACAGCAACACATTTTATTTTGCATTATGCCAAAAAATATTGCACAATTTAAGACAGCTTCATATTTATTATTCATATAAATAATAAATATGAAGCTGTGCACTCACCTACATCTAGGTGAGTGCACATAGATGTAGTAAAACACTCACAAATATACCCATAATTTAAACACTGTAATGTATAAAATAATGCCTGTACCTATTTTACTATATGTATACATGATAGCAATCATACCATTAACATGGTGCACTAAAAGATATAGACCCTAAACACAAATGCAAACACTACCTTCATGCATGGAAGAGTACATTTTCTCCTTAATACTCTTGATGGGAAAACATAATGACCCAAATGGCCCTGAATTCAAATTACACAACAGACTGTGTCAACCCTAATTCTAAATTCCTCACCAGTATCCTTGTTTTGTTCTTAACATCCTATTCTTGTTCCAGATGGATAGATAAATGGATGGGTGGTCAATGAGGCAAACTTTGAACACATAATTGCAGCAACATTATTTGTAGTCTGTGCCTCATTCTTTACAACTATTTGTACTTAAAGATTCCCATGAATGGATGAATTTTGGTAGAAATTCTTTGGTAGAAAGAATAGAGCACGGACATTTTCTATGCCTATATATTACTTGTAAATTGAAGGTATACCATTCTAGCAGTGTAGTTTGCACCAGTTTTCTACACTGCTTATACCGTCCCAATTTCTTTTTCAAAACAGTGAAAAGAGAAAATGAAGAAAGCTACAAAAATGCGTATGTCTTGTGTGATTTTCTCTGTACCTGGCACTCTTTTTTCTCTCCTTTTCTTCCGCTTCTTCTTTCTGAGCTGTGTTCAGACTTTCAGCATCTGCCAGGTTATCAACCGCAATAGCCAAGAAGACATTTAACAGGATATCTGATTGAAATCATTTTAAGGATAATAAATAGGCAATGCAAGATCTCACATTAGCTGGTTATTCAACAGTAACTATCCAATGATGGCAATTATTTTACAATTTTACTTGGAAGTTCCTTGCACAAACTAAACTAAGAGGACATTTTCTGTTTTATTTTTATTTATAAAATAGGAGAGAAATATGAATATAAAAATTCTACAAAATTCAAAAAGTAGTTGTTGATTTTCACCCTAGTTTACTGTTCTGACACACAAATATTTGTTTCACTAGTTTTTCTTCCCTGGCATGGAACATCCCATCAAATTCACGTACACTAGTATTGTGTGTGTGTACGTGTGTGTGTGTTGTTTTTTAATCACACAGCTGAACAACTTAAATTCCATATATATTCCCAAGGGGAGGGGAATTCCTTTATTTCTCAGGTTCAGAATAGATGATATTTTATAAAAAGACTAAAAAGTCTGCCTAGTACCCATATCTACCTCTCCCCTATCTTTCTTTCTTCCCATCACACTATAAGTTGTCCTCATTTACTGATGGTACTTGGAGCCGGAAACTCCACTGCTAAGTGACATGGTCATAAGATGCAATGTCATGTGACTGCGCCAACTTATGATGGCAGTTCCAGCAATCCCAGTTGCTGGCATTAGGTGAATCCTCCGTGGTTGCAGTGTCCCACCATCATCGGATCACCATTTGCAACCTCCTGCCAGCTACCATTTACTTTGCTTGTTGGAAGCTGGCAAATGGTGATCACGTGACCATGGGACAGGGCAACATCATAATTGCAAGCCAGTTGGCAAGCACCCAAATCACAATCATGTGACTGTGGGGACACTACAACAGATGCAACTACAGGACCCATCGTAACATCCTCTCATTCAGTATTCAGTGCTGTTGTAAGGTCAAATCGTCGCTGAACAAATGGTCATTCAGTGAGGACTACCTGTACTTCCTTTTGGGTTACATGTGACTGTGGGGACACTACAACAGATGCAACTACAGGACCCATCGTAACATCCTCTCATTCAGTATTCAGTGCTGTTGTAAGGTCAAATCGTCGCTGAACAAATGGTCATTCAGTGAGGACTACCTGTACTTCCTTTTGGGTTAAGCAACATTATGCCAAGTGAAGCACTAAGAAATAGTATACCAAAGAAAAAAGAGTTAAGGGGGAGAAAAGGAAATATAGCAAAGTCTAGTTTACAGCAACATCAATCACTATACTTCCCTATTCCTTTCTATCCTTGAAAACCACATTTGCTCCCACCATGTCCAAATACCACTTAAAGTGCCTTTTGTTCTTTAAACTTTTCATCTTCCATTTTGAAGGATCTCATCAACTGCATCCTAATATGAATTTCTTGCACTTCCTTTCCTCTCAATCCATTTACTCTATCTTCATACATTTGTTTTGCAATTCTCATCAATTCTCTCTATAATTCTGTTAATATACTTTCATATTGGTCACTCATTTTTGTATTCAATCCATATTCATTCAGCACCCATTCATTCTTGACCCAATTTCTTGTTTTACCATTCTCAAAGTTAGCGGAATTGTGCTCATATACAGCTTTTTTCACTTCTTTCAACACTTGTTCATCACTACAAACCACATACTCCCCACTACCTTTCTACCAACATTTGCACATTTTGAAAAATTTTGATTATGTGCCATCAAGTTGTTTTCAACTCCTAGTGACCATATAGATAGATTTTCTTCATGACAATATATCCCTAACCTGTTCTTTCAAGTCTCCCAATGATGCACTCATCACCACTGTAACTGAGTCTGTCCATCTTGCTACTGGTTGTCCTCTTCTCTTTCCTTCCACTTTTCCCAGCATTAGAGCCCTTTCCAGAGAGCTGGGTCTTCACATAACATGCCCAAAGTAGGATAATTTGAGCCTGTTCATTTGTGCCTTGAGTGAGAACTCTGGGTTGCTTTTGAAAAATTCGCTATTTATTTTCCCATCTTAACTGAATGTTCTATCAAGGTACACAAATTAATCTAGTTATTCTAACTTTTTTTGCATTTCATGTCTAATTTGCAATCTTTCACTTCATTTTCCATGTCAAATACAAGTACTTGCATCTTTGTTACATTAATTTTCAGATCTTGTTACATCATATGAACTAATTTACATCTAATATTTACTTGAAATTACTCATGCTCTCAGCCATCCTCTCCATATATGCACATTTATATTCCTAAACCATATACCTCGGGGGAGAAAATGGCAGCGTTAGAGACAGACATGTACTTTGAGCATCATTAGCTCTTTCACAAGTATTTCATCTTGATTCATATTGTGGTTGATAAAATTGTTTTAAGTTGTATGATTATTAATTGCTTGAACAAACAAAGGTAATTTAATGCAGAGGCTTATCTATTTGATTGCTTGCCAACATATGGCTCAGTGTACTAATTACAATACAAAGTAGAACATGGTTTTCACTAGAAGAGGATATAAAAAACATGGCTTATCTCTTCTAACCACAGATTTTAATTGCACTGGCAGAAGAATGAAGGAGAATAACCAGTTTACTCAAACTAACTGGTTATTTATTGTTTTCCAGTAAATAAGTCAGTAACTGACTTATTTACTGGAAAATAATCAAACAACTTATTTCCCTGTGGTCGCAAGCCCAGTAATACAATCCTCTGTTTTGGACTGGTCATTAGGCCCAACATATATTTTTACAGCTGAACATACTGAATTAAATAGCTTCTTAATCTCCAAATTAATTCTGGCAGAGAAACAAACTTCAGTGGAATTTTATTCCACTGTAAATATGATTAACAATTGCTCAAAGAACTTGATTTTAGAAAGTGAAACTGTAGCTCAACTTGGTGAACAGCCTTCCAAATCCACAATACAAGACTTACCATCTGAAAACCAAGATTCAAGTTTATTACTGATCTCTCACATGCCAAGGTGTAAAGTGCTGCTAACTACATTGACTGCTACAATCTCAGAAAGCCTGGAAACAAACCATTTGTCAAACTTCTAAGTAACTGGGCTTACAACTTCCTTACAATCCTCAATGCAGCATACTACAAATCCAGTTTGTTCAAATTCAGCAGAAGACGGTCAGGCCTTCACATCAACGTCTCTTACAAAAATTTACTGGAAGTGAAAAGAAAAAAACTATGAACTAAAAAACCTAAAAATGTAAGAGATTCAGATTACCTAAAGCCTAAATTAGGTAATTCAAAGGCTCTTAAATATTCTCTAGAGTAAACATAGGAAAAGCCACACGTCAACCATTAAGAAGAAACAGCACAAGAAAGACACATTTCTAGATGAATTCTATCTACACCAGCAGCACTTGGGACTATATCTCAAGAAATTAATTCCTATGAACCAGCTAAAGCTGATCCTATGACTAACACATTGGCAATAATTATGACAAGGATCCAAAGAGTTTAAATTCTTTGGCTTTGGCTTCCATTTGTCATCTAGAACATTTACAAACAGGGATTGGAATTTGTTTCTCATTTCTAATAAGGTATCTTTTGTTAATTTTCCTAAGCTTAAGGCAATTTATCTCAACTACAGCACAAATTGTACTTTGTAAAACTGATTGTCCCTTTTATTTCATTCCCATTATGTGTGAAGGATATTGTTAAAAGAGAGTACATAATTTTTAGTTACATTCAGCAAGGGCACTAGTGACCTTTACCTCAGAAGCTCTAGTGGATAAGATCTTGCAACCGAAATTCAGTTTTATACAGAATAATATAAGGTTCCCCAGATTTTTCAAGAATTATGATTTGCTTACATATAAGGATGTACAAAGTAAGATGTCAAGTGTATCAAAAGGGTCATTGTAAAAACTAAATCTTGCAAAGGGAAGATACCTTCAGGAAGTAATCCTGCTTTAAATCATCTAGCATTATTGCAGCAGAACTTTGCCTTGCCCTTATAGAAACTTTTTTTGATAATAGCAACCACAATAAACATGTAACAGAATAATCAGAGACAGAGGGAACCGCTAAATCTACGTCATATGTTCATCCGCAAGAAGTTCTGGTATCAAACAGGTATTTACGCACACAAATTTGGAATTCCACAATTTTGTCTCCTCCCTTGTACCATACCTAAACTCATTAGAGAATATGATTGCTAATGTTCTTCCCATTGCTGGTTTCAGAAATGGTAGTGTTTTTAAGGACCAGTATGGTATGTTGAATTCTATAACTGCTTGTGATTGATGTTTTGAGTTACAAAATCCCTCCAGCCTGAAACTGAACTCATGGAACACGTGGCAGGCTAGGAGGGTAAGAAAAAGGATAAATTGTTTATTGACATAATTTTATTACATGAGACTTGGGCTATAGCTTCTATAAGTCTAGAGCAGTGTTCCTCAACCTTGACCACTTTAAGAAGCGTCGACTTTAACTCTCAGAATTCCCCATCCATCCCTGTCTAAAAATATTTGGTCTATGCTCAAATCTTATATTTCTTTTTCATTAATGAAGTGCCATAAGATTTCCCCAGTAATTGGGGGGGGGGGAGCTAGAACAGGCTCAGATACAATTGCATTGGGAAGTAAGTATCCTGTTTTATTAGGATTTGAAAAAGGAAGAGCTTTTCCCCAAAGAAGTTCTAAAGACCAACACTTAAATTTTGCTGGGTTCTGTCTAGCACAATGATAGTATAGACTAGATTGTATAACCTTAAATGGCGCCTTTCCTGGGGATAGTTCTGGGAATTCACATTTGTTAACTCTCATGGTTCAAGTGTAGTTGATTATTGTTTGATTTGAATAATATTATATAAATTTGTTCAGTTTGCATGTTGGACTAAGGACAGAGCATAATAATATTCCCTTAATTCTCTGTATGTTACTACCGCATGAACTGCTGTTTTTAAGTTCTATCAACCAGTCTTAGAGTAGATTGTTGTAGACCCTATTGAAAATAGTCTGATAAGTGGGTAGATGCATTCAGTTGCCTCAGATTCTGAGAAAGCCAGTACTTTAAAATATATAATCTGCTCCCAAGAATCATTTGAGTGTGTTTTAAGGACGTATCATAATTTAATTTCACTGTTTCAGGATACATTTTGTGGCCACCCAAAGAGGAACTATATCATGATTACCTAATAGGCATCCTTGGTTTGATTTGGAATGCCACCTGGACAAAAACAAAACAAAACAAAAAAAAAAACTCCAGAACCAAAAACCCCTAGAGAAGCATTTTTAAACTGTAGGCAGTCTAGCCTTAATAAAATTCCAGCCTACTTTGTTCAAATGAAAAATAAGTATAAATTCCATTTAGTTCACAAAAAACAAAAGAATGGTCAAGAATTTAAATGTGTCATGAAATAGCAGCTCTAAAATCTTTTGGTCCTTAGTCTTTAATGCACTGTGTGATCATTTCCAAGTCTCAGAATATGGTATAAGAAAACTATCAATTCCATCACCCATTCATTTGGTGATACAAATTATTCCCTGGATCTGAAGGCAGCATTTGACTCTATCCCAAGAAATCTTTTATAGCTAAAACTTGAAAACTTCCCAATAGATAAAAGGCTACTTTTTAAAATTAAGGCTCTACATAATGATAATATTCTCCAGTTTTGATGTAGTGTCAGCCCTACAAAGTAGACCAGACCAAGAAACAGATGCCATGTAGACCTAAAACTACTTTTATTAAGATTGACTATAGTAACAGAACCTTGCAATGTGCTTCTCTTCCTCCCACCTTTATATATCATGTGAATTAGGGAGGTGCCTGTCTGAGACATCTTCATAAACCTTCCCCCTTGTCTGGGCTTAAGCAATGTTTATCTACTTGTTGCCTTGGTAAAAGATCTTCTCTCTCTCTCTCTCTCTCTCTCTCTCTCTCTCTCTTGTCATCCTGTTTACTCTCTACAGGTAAATAAACTTACTAAAAATATTTTTCAAAACAACTTGGAAAACTTCATAAATGAAACCAAAGGACATTTTCCTAAATTTCAAGATGGGAAAGTGAACATTTTATTACATGGCGATGATACAGCCATACTTTTGCAGCCTATTAATTAAGTTCTCAAAGTATTCTGATATTAACTCTCTGACAATTATTTACATTAAATCAAAAGTATTGGTTTTTGAGAGGAGTTATAAATTACTGTCATGGCATATAGATGAACACAAGTTGAGTCAAGCTAAATAATTTACATATTTGGGGATGGTATCCTGCCATTCTCTTTCACGGTCTCCCCACACGTATTTTGCTAAGAAGATATCTGCCTCTAGTTCAACAATTCTTCCATTCCAAGGGAAACCAGCACCCCTCAACAGTAATTCAAGTTTACAAGACTAAACCGGTGGCTCAATTTTTATATGGGGGACCAATCTGGGTTAAAGGAATTAAAGATAATTCTCATTTCTTACAAGCTTAATTCCTACATACTCTGATTTATGTCCCAAGTGGTGTTCCCAAAACAGTCTTATTACTGGAAACAAGTTTATGTCTTCTTTCAATTTTAGCTTGGTTAGCCACTAATAAATTATGGTTGAAATTCTATATTTTTAGATATCTGGTGGCATACATCAGTACCTAGATAACTTTGTCAGAAGACAAGAAATGACAAATTTGACAAGGTTATTGAGTTTAGATTATTCGTCAACAAACACTCAAATTGAACAGCGGCTCTTAGACATCGCCCACTAGGATTTGCAAGCAACAGCTAAAGTATCTTGCTTCTCAATATATCTGAGAATAAGATATGAGAAAGCATTTTACCTTACACTAAAAATCTTTCAGTACTTAAATATAGATGGGCTTTTGGCATGGCTAGACAAAATGCATTCCCCTCCCAGGTGTTATAAGGAAGACATAAGGGAATCAGCCCCTCCAAAAGAGTGTGTCTTTGAAAGAACCATGATATAGAGTCAGTGGAACATATGTTCTTCTATTGCAGCTTTTATCTTAGTTTGCATAACAACCTGATTATTCCTATTTTAACATACTTTCCTGAACATTACAATCAATTTTATGTTAAATATCTTCTCTGTGATCAAATTCCTAAGGTAACTTTAGCAGTGACAAAGTTTTTAACTATTATTAGGATAAGGAAGTAAATTTATGTTAATGCATGTAATGACATCAAGGGTTATGTTTAAGAAAGATATATTATCTTGGATTTTAAAATAATATAGTATTTTGTTATGATCTGTAGAATGTTTAAATAAACTTACTAACTAAACCCATACACTTCTAACATCACCACAAGCATTAATTATAACTTTATCCATAAATAAATCCAGCAATCAAGTGGACATCATGTATCTTTGTCTTACCTCCTGCTCAAGCTTGAAACATTTGCTAAACATTCTGTTTGTTCTCTCATATTGCATGCTTCATTTCCATCTTCTTCCACTTTTATTGCATTCAGCAGCTAACTTTCAAATCCAGCTCAAAAATTCGATAATTCAAGCCAATTCAAGCACTTTCTCTATATTAACAAATGCATAATAAACTTTCTTTTTCACATTCATACTCATATATTGATACATACTTATATTCCTATTTTGATGATGTTTAAAAAGTAAATGATACATTCGCAAAACTTAGTGTGAAGAGTAATTTTACTGGAAAAATATCACTTTTCTGATTCTCACCTTCACCCACTCTTTACTGAATTCCATTTCCTCTCAGTTCTGTGCTATTGAAATGAGTACCATTACTGTGTAAAAAGCAACAGTGTGAGTAGCATCCTATACTTTGGAAACAAAAGGGAAAAACAGGTAATTTTCTCTCATTTTTGATAACCTCAAAATTTAAATCATAGCTGATCTCAGGCTGATAGTGAGTGACTTTCCCATAACCATTTCTCAGTTAAGAAAAACTGAGCTCCTTTCCTTTTTTTTAGAAGCAAAATGGTATGTCAACAGGCTCATGAGGCAGAGTTGTCAGTCAGTCAGTCAGTCAGTCAGTCAGTCAGTCAGTC